AAAAATAATGGTCTAATGGAATATGCCATACATGAACAAAATCTTCAGTACTCAAAAACATTGAGTAATTCTTCCTTCATCCAAGCATTTACATGTCTTCTAGATCAAAAGATTATCATAATCTATCATCTTGGAGTTGTAATCATTCGCCACTCGGATAAAATGTAGCAAGATGACAGCAGAGAGGCTTGAACTAACCAAATAAACATGACGATCTTTTGATTAAGTTATATTTGTGTTTTGGATAGAGATAATTTTCAACTTAGTAAATGATGTCTATTAGCTTACTTCTAATATCTTTTACACTTATATTTATTTATAAACTTTGGTTATCCATTACCGATTTTCAAATGACTGAATTTGGAAATGTGAACTACTACATCTTGACTTAATGGTCTAAAAACATGATGTTAAACTCGAGGCTTCAGAGTTGAGAGTTTGTAGTACTTGGAAGTCATGAACTAAAATAAAACAGTTGTCATTAGTCATACGGCTAATATCAGCCCATAACTAAAAGTCATTTCTATATTATCCGTTGTTTACATAATAATAAATAGTAATAGCGTTTGTATTTTTGGGCCCATTAAACTTTTTATAAACGCGTTAAAATCAACTTAAGTGTATGCTAATAAAATTTAGTAACTTGTAACGCAATCCACATATTGATCATTGCTGGCTAACATAATCAAAGGAATCTTTATAAAAATTGCATCAGCTGCTTGAAGACAGTTGTTTTGTACTAACCTAAAATAGATAACTAATATTAATTTAAATAGGTCAACTTATAAATAGCGATATATTGGGAAATATAAATTTATGTCTGTCTGAAGTGTCGTAAAAACAAGATTGGATTTATACATGAGGACAATATTTCGATTGTATGCTCTTTATTGTTGCAATGTCGTGTAATAAATTCACATTTGGCTTGTCCATATGGTGCGTTGTGGATGGTAAAATGCTTTTGGAATATTTTTTCTCAGACCAAGATGCATTCATTTTTTTCAAAAAAATAAAGTATAAATAGTTGACTTGTCACATATAGTTTTGATAGAATTAAATAGTGAAATTTCTGCATCAAACAGAAGAAAATATCTTAACTTGTTACATCAGCATAAGTACTTGATCTATTCAAGAAAATTTACAACTCTAGCTGAGTAGAAAACTAATTATAGTTTTTAAGTAAATAAAGTGCATTAGTTACATTTCACGTGAAAACATTATTTGAAAAACTATTTGATGCTTTTCATTTAACCGCAGAACTGACAAAATTACGGTCGGACAATAAGTACTGTATTTTATTGGTTTATAAGTAACCTAAATTCTACACTTGTATTTTAGTTCATTGATAGTATTTGAGATGATTTTCAGGTCTAAGTGAAATAAACATTCAGGTAAATTGAATAAACCACAATTAGATTTTTGGGATGTTCTGATAAGGGATTATTCGATGATGTATGTTTTGTGAACATTTCTCACATGCATTTTAAATTAAACTAAACTTCTTAGGTTATTAAAACTTGCTTCTCAAGGAAACTGAAATAAACATGAACATTTCAATATAATTTTTTTAAAGTTTAAAAGTTAGGAAGAATTGTTTGTTTAAGTATGCTCATTAGCTCAGTGAGCAAGAATGACATCTACAGTTATTGAATTTTTGATCACAACAGATATCATTATTCACAAAATAAGTCGTATAAAACTACCATAATCAGGGGAAAAGACACCGAAACACAAAAGATTTGTTGAGTCAGTGGCTAATCAAATGGAAAGGAACACAAATCAAGCTATACTAATGAATTTCCACACGAATTCAGAATATTTCGCATCCACTAAGGATTAACACAATGCCATAATATTTAAGAAAATTAAGACTTTTACATATTTCTTATATAATAATTTCGGACAATAATGGAAATGAAATAAATAAAATTAGCATCGTTAACATAGTTTTCCATCGCACTTCATTAGACTAATCGAATTACATTTTCAGAATTCAGTAGAAACCATTGAGCAATTATGAGCTTAATTCAGATTTTTTACTACTTTAATAATTTATCGTTATTTTTTTTCTTCAATATTCTTTGAAGTTATGATCTGTACTACTTAATAATGTATAAGTAGCCAGAGTCTGTGGAACTCATCTTGCTAGTGGGTTTATGTGAATGATTAAATGTTTACCAGAATAAAAAAACAATGTGTTGAATATAATCTGTCTTTTTATCATTTAAATTCGATGTTGTGCACATATGCTGCATATCAAGCGCAGGATACTCAGTCCTGTTGTGATTAAAGTTGCTCTCTGTTACTCTTTCTGTTTTCTTCAATTCAACCTTCTATTGGCAGGTACTCCACCTCCGATTGATACTACATCCTAGTATATGTGGTGTACACTATACATCTAGAGTTTTTTTGTTTCTTCTTATTTTATTTTGAAAAAAATAGCCTCATTTTGAATGACAATTTATTACATCTATTGGTTTGAATATCACCAAACGTATCTACCTCAACTATATAGGCACTGTCTCTGGCATATTCGCTCAGAAATTATTATTGCAGAGAATGAAATAAAGTAATGAAAACAAAACACAAGGTAACTGAGTATGGATTTTATTAAAAAAGGAGTACATTATTTTACGTAAATAATTAATGTATATGTACAGTAGCTATAAACCATATGCAACAAAATCCAACTTGTACAATTAGTCATAATGAACAGACAAAGCCTTAGTTGACGAAAGTAGCTAACAATTTAAGTCTATGACAAAAATGAATCGTTGGAATGTAAAAGGATGACGTTTGTTCTGTTCATCGCTTTTTACAACTTACTGAGCTATTTTATTCGAAATTTTAGCTCTTATACTACAGTCGACTATCTATAAAGATTGATGGATAGGATAGAGACGATACTCCCTTTAGTCGAAGGAGCAACTACAGTATAGTTTTAATCAGTGTCATCAGATAAAATACAGCACAGTTCTTCCTATCTTTTCATCACAATGTAATTACTCTACCATAAAAGTAAAGGGTGTGGTTAGAAGGAATCTATTCCCAGATGATAAGATTTAATACTCAGACCGACAGAAAGATATTTATTGTAGATGTATTCGTAATAATTGACGAAAAACAATTTAATGGCTCACAACCAAGAATGACCTAAAGAGATAGATTAATTTAAGTCATGGTCCTGAATATACATATCCGTATATAATGACCATATAACCTCAGTTGTAAGGTGTAAACCAACTTTCGGAAGATATGAGCCTTTTGATTCGATATAAATAAACTAATGACAATTTACCAGTTAACAGAACGGATCACAAAGCCACAAGTAAACTTTAGGGAAGTAGAACAGAAATGCTAATGAGAGTGAACAAGTGAACGTAATGGCGAATCAAGAGTAGAATCAATTAAACCTAAGTTTAGGGGAGGGGTTATAGATATCATCTCAATCAAACTTAATGATTACTCATTATAAACCGACTACATTTATGTTCTCCTACAAAGGTAATAGGTATTAATCAGTTGTTGAAGAAAAACACAAACCTAATAAACTCATTTCTTGGTATTCAAAAGTAGACAGCTGTTGTAATTACGGTGAATATTATAAGTTGTACATACATAGCACAGTGTATACTGTTTTCATATCATTTTGATAAATGCTTGAAGATATAATGCATTTTTCTAGTCCAAATGTCTTACAGCTTGTTTTTAGGTCGCAAATATCCACTACTATTCTGTGAATATGAAATTTCTTCAACCAAAATTTATAAAATAAACCTAACTCATAGACATACCATGGTAAGTAATTCATTGTTGTTCCGTACTCTCTGTTTCCATTTTACTTTCTCTTATTGTAGATGATTATAATTAATTTATAATGGCGCAGAAAATGATCTTAAATGTATTGTTCATAAATCAACAGGATATCCACTTAAGAAGAATTAAAAGTTCCCGGCCGATGCATTACATTTCTTTATTATATGTCATAAATGTACTACCTAAACAATTTTTGAACTAGCAAACGTAAAACAATCTTATATCACATGTTTGCCTGCTACATTTAATGTTACAATTTATATCAAGCTGATCATGACTGTAAACTGCCATGAATTCTGTAATTATTATTTTCAGAATACATTATATTATTAGTACGATACTTGTATGCAATTTTAATCAACGGAAAATTCTCATCATATTAATACATATCTGAACGAAGAATATTCTTTCCAATAAATTTTCTTCAGATTCTACAATCATATGTCCAAATTAACAGTCCAAATATCGGCCAGATCTAAGGTGAACAAATCGTTTAAAATCATAGCATGTAAATTCAGAAATGTTCGTTACCTAAAATAAACTTCACAAAACCTTTGGAAGAGTTATAATAATAATAACTATAATAATAGCATGTATGAATCAGTTTAAGCTATTAAAACATAAAGAGGGCTGTATGAACATCTATAAAATTATGTCAGCATTTCATCAAAATGATTGTTAACTAATTAGGCAAGAAGTTGGCCAAGACAGAAGAAGCGGTTGAACATATTTCTTCCAGATGTCACACTCTAGCTTTCTGGTCTGAACAGCTGTTGCTTCAACCGTTTAAAGGATTCTTAGCCTGAGGGTTTTAGGCAGATAGCTGTTAACACGATATGTGATTGTAAATGATTGCTCCGTGTTGACTCTATGGCTTATTTATATTAAACGAATTAGAATGGAACTATTAAAAGTTTTAACTATACCTTTACTTAACCACACTAGAAGATGTTCGAGAGCATGAACATACGAATTCCTAAAATACCTGTCAATATAACTAGTTCCACACAATCAACAAAAAAGAAATCAAAAAACTTATAAAATATAAATTTTATTTAAAAATCTATGCGAAATAACTGTTTTGTACAAAATTCGTCATGATTTTGTTAAATTATAAACACAGTTACTACTACTACAGTAATAATAATAATGATCAAAAAAGACATAAAAAGTTATAAATTCAACAGCTAATTGATTTGTTACAGAATAACTATAAGGATTAATTGATGCAGACCATTCCAATTTTGTTTTTACTGAATAAACAAAGCTTTCTGAATAAATTGTCAGCACTATGTTTCTTTCTGTAAATACGACAAAGAAGGTGAAATGAAGTACATATAGTGTGTTTTACTTTGTGCACCAGATGGCAACAACAAATGTTTTACGTTTACAAACTGAACATTATGACAAAACTTAGTATTTGTAAAGACACTTGTATTTTCAGTGTTTATGAAAGGAGTATATCATTGGAGGCTGCAAGTTAAAGAAAGCTATGGACACAGGTGGAACTAATAGCAGCCACCCATTGCTAAGTGGAATAATTGGTACAGATCAGAATTTTCCTTGAAAAAGCTTGGACCAGTTTGCCAGGCGAAACGTTGGATTTACTTCAGATTCTTCCGCTGAGATTTTATAAATACATTCTTCCTCTTTAAGGAAAGTCAATGGTAGGGAATGTCTAAGTGTGCGACCTCCCTTCTAGAGTCCACGACTCATTACTTTCTAAAAATACATATACTATGATCATTCTGACCAATGCATACATCACGCTCTTTATTTCAATGACTTAAAGCAATTTCTTTTGTTTATGATTATTTATATCTCGTTTCTTCATTTAGTAATCACTTCACTTTTATTATCTCTTACCTAAGTTGTAATAATTTGCATGCTACGTAGTCTTTGAACGAATACTTTATCTAGTTCGTAATTTCATTATTACTTTCAACCGCCTTTATTTACTACAAACTAGAATGTCTCATTTTCCAATTATCTACAAAGTGATTCAAAAATATATATTTTATATCATCCAGTGAAATATATCCAAACCATTATTACTGAAAAACTTAAATTCGTATCCTCTATTTTTAGAAATGTAGATTCTCTAAACTTAACCATACTTTTTTATTAAGAATTTTGTGGAGGATTTCAATCTTTAGCTCATATTCAGGAGAAACGTTATCTAGACATCCATTGAACACCAAAAATAGATTGATCACCTGTTGAACTGATAAGTAATCTCATACTAAGATGAAATAGTTGTCTAGCACTTTCTGGTATTCATTAGTGATAAGCCTGATAATTGAGTACTGGATTTGACATCTTAGTTACTACTAATAACTCAAGAATAAATCTGCACGGTGATTCAAACACAAAAGAAAAGTTGCGAAGTGTAAAACCAAAGACCGATGATAAGGATTTATGTAATTCCTAAAATAAATTAAATTGGTTTATGAATGCACCACTTTACAGTGAGATAAACAGTCAAAGTAGTATGGATAGAATTGAGCTATATTTGGCAATACTAACTTACTGTATGAATCTATATTTATCATATTTTACTATTAAGCATCAATAACCCTTCATTAAATGTGAAAAATTGTCACACACTACTGAGAAAAACAATTTCATCTGTCATTCACAATTCAATAGATTTAGGCACTGCTCGCCATATGATCAGTTTTCTAGATAAAGTTACAAGTGATATAAACTACATATATTCCCTTATTGTTGAGTTAAACTTATGATCATAGTATCCTATAAACAATTATTAGATGGGATCCTCTGCTTTTATATATGTGTTTTGACATAGTTGAGATGTTTAAGTAACTGAATGCTCTTGAGTGTGTCTATTTTTTTGTTTGTAAGGTTCTATGAACTTCTAAGCACAATACATGGATAACATTTACTATTTCAGATGTCATTTGTTTATGAGTTGTTTTTTACATGAGATTCTTTGAAACAAACCATTTCAACATTGACCAATAATAAAAAAACAGTATAAAAAAATATTCTGACATCAACATTTTACTAAAATGCTTTCTCAACTAAACTGTTAAGAGTTCAAATCATTAAAATAATGAATTTTATGTTTTTCAGTTGGATTAGAGATTTTTTTGCATCCAGTAAAATGTTGCTAGTTTCAAGTAATACTACTCATAAGTAGCCCATAATCTAGGTGAAAATAATTTTATGATCTGTCTCATAGCCCATTAGACAATGTCAACATCTGATTTAGTTAACCAATGTATATGAATAGAAATGAAAGAAAATGGTTAATCTTTAAAATTTGAACGTTTCCTTATCAGTTTTCTGGTCTTAATAATTTTATAAATATAGCTACATAAACTCATTATTCTGAATAAGATTTGTTTAATTTCTTTTCATAATCATAAACAGTTTTATCGAAAATAAATCGTCTTCCAAAAAAACCCTTATTCTTAAATTTGCTGGACAGTCCTAGAGATAAAACAACGGAAGAAAAGTCCTTTTCTTCAGTATTGATACGGAGGAATCATGCGTAAACTTTCTCATATATTTTAGCATTTTCACATTACCTCAACAATTATAAAGAATACTACTAGTAAAGTAATTTCTTTGAAGGTTTATCATCAACAAAGTAAACCGAAAAAAATAAATGATTTGTTTGCATTTGATGTAAAATTTCTACATAAAACATTGTGAACTTGGTCTTTTTTTACATTGTCATTTTTACAATATGATAATAAAATGAATTTCTCCTAACAAATTAAGGCATTTCTAACACTTCCATTTTATCAGTATAGGGTTGTGGAGATTATTAAGTTATTGATTGAGATCTTGAACTGATTGATGTTAGACCACCAGTGAAAATCTGGAAACACTGGACGGTCAACTCGTCCTATTTTAAGACTTCTCAACAGTGCGCATCGACGATCCCGCCCGCGGGATTCGAACCCAGGGCCTTCGGTCTCGAGCGCGAACACTTAACCTACAAGACCATTGAGCTGGCATCCAACGGTGTTAATGTCTAACCTAAACCAATCCACGAAATTGTACGACCAACTTCTATTGTACTGAGGTAGATACCTGTCTCTACACGACACGGATTAGTTCCATTTTATGTGATATGAAACAAAAGTCATTCCTTTTTCTTGAATTATGATTATAATTAAAATTCTGAGTACCTTGTTCATTCACTTTACTTTGATCGGTTAAATATCTAACAGTCATTTTTCTATATTGTTATTACTATACATTAATTACTGATTATATCCGTCGAACTAATATACACAATTCATTTTTATTCATTAATAAATTTAATCATTGTTCACCATATTATTAATTTTCTAAATAAAGTTACATATGATATAGACTACTAATATTCCCTTATTGTTGAGTTAAACTTATTCTTTGTTTAAATACTAATCTTTTAATATGATGGAAATGTTTAAATGAATAAACGAATCACTAATATTTATCAATATTTTCAAATCATAATACCAACGCTTACCATGTATTAAATTTACAGTAAATAAATAAACAAAAAGAAATGGGCGGAAAATTCTAGAAAATTCTAGGCAACTACTAATTTTTTACTAAAATAAACTTTAATAAATATCTAATGATATTTCTATTAACGAATAATAAATAAGTTAAAAGTTAATAAAAAAAATAGTTTTTTATTCAACTTTAATGTTATATCTACTTTACTTTTTTTTCTCTAAATTGACATGCATATTAAATTAAATAAGGTACGGTATATTGAATAAAAAAAAATGATAGAGATTTATTTTTTTGTTTGTTTTGTTTTTAATTCTCAAGTGAATCTAAAAATGAATACAGTCAAATCAATCGATATTGTTCATAGTGATTAAAAAAACAAACAAATACATAAATAAAACAAGATATATATTCTATATGGAAATTGTTTAACTATTAATGAATCAATTACATTTACTTTGTAATTATATTTTAAATTGTTTCTTAGTAAGTCATTTCTGATTAGTAACTGTATTAATAATCATTTAATAATCAATAATTATTGATTATGAATCGTTTAGATACATGATTACCTATAAAATCATTATACACATTTTGTATTAGAAGTAAAAAAAATATAGATATAAGTTATTATTTGCTAAGTATTAATAATAAAACGGTTGTAACCAGGTAATACTTTATTAATATTTATGACTAGCATTAATATCTACTATGAATGCTTCTAAACAGATAATGAAATTATGATATTAATTGATTTAGTGCAAATTTTTATTTATCACTAAATAGAATCATTATGAAACTAAACAAGTTACTGACCAAAATTTTGTAAATATGTTTAGAACATGCCCTTCAGTAATTAATTTACCTTAGGCAAACATCTTTTATTTTTATGCAGTTTATCCTATATTGAGATATAACTCATCTTATAAACATGACCTTAATATAATGATAGTTTATCTTTATATAGTGAAGTGTAAGGTAAGCAAGATGTGAAAAAAACACCCTGTGGTAATTATTAGTCTACAAACTTTATTGGGAATTTGAGTGTTAAGTTTTATTTAAAGATCTTAATTTATTTATTTCTCAATGAACTTTTTTTGTAATTAAACTAAAACTCAATAAGCCTAATAATGAACGAGATCATTAAATGATTATGTCAACTAGAATTATAGGCAACCTTATTTCATGTACTTGAATTTGTTATGTCCGAATGAAGAAATAAATGAGCAGTAACTTCCAGGAATTATTTATAGACTATATATAACTTATTCCCAATTTATTAGTGACAGTATTCCATACTGACAGCCACTTATGGCCTGATCTTTCATAATAATTATTTTTCATTTTATGATGCATTATGGTTTAGTCGGTTTGTAAATAGACTACGTATGTTTGAAATATATGATCCATATAGCAGTGGCTGATATTTGTGTTCTAGACTTAACAGGCTGGGTTAGGCGTAAAGCTATTGTACAGAAGGACTTACAGTTGACTCAAGGTTGCTTGTGATGCTTAACGCATCACTGGTTTAGCACAGGGAAAATTACATACAAGTTGGTATTTTGGTTAGCGGTTTTGTCACGCGATATTTGGCGGGCCATATGACACGACAGAATTCTTATCATTCATCACCAAATGTATCTGAACTGAAGGTAATAATGTAATATATTTATTGAGACTGCTCAGTTTTAAAATATAATCCAGCTTTTTAGTCAATTGGATTTCATTACAAACTCAAATTGAAGCAGAATCTAACAGTAATGACTACTCGACAGAATGATAACTGTTAGGAGGATGGAGAGAAAATAGGTCACAGAGAAACAATTGTAAGAATATAATTGTTAAACAAATCATCCAAGTTCATAACCAAGCTAGAAGGTTCACATTGACGATACACAAAAATTCAACATGTGTATGCACGAATCAAGTATTAATGTGAAGTATCATTTTTAAAGTTGGAAAAAAAAATATTTAGGGATACTGTGTGTGGAACATCGTTGAAAAATTGAGTTAAAAATGTGGAGTGGTTTTAGAAAATATTTAATACACTACAAAATTTGATTAATCACTGGTTAATTTACTAATCGTACCATGTTTATTCATGACAACCATTCGTTTCAAAAGATGATGAAAAGCTTACTTTATCAGTTTCAAAAGTCTCTTATTGTTAATCTAAACTATACAGCACCTTAATTACGTTTATAGATGTGGTTACCTGAAATTTTACTTATATGATCATAAATATTCAAGTCTACTTGAAATCGGCTACTTATATGAATTCTTTTCACTTTTTATCGAAATTCCGAATTATTTGGAAACGCCTACGATTCCAGACTTTTTAGGCCAAAAGAATGATTGTTAATAAATGAATCTCATAGTTTAGGAATGATCTGAAATCACTCTAAGCTTTCCATAATGAGCTAAAATGTTCAATTGCAATCCATATTTGGAATGCAATTCAATGTGACCTTTAACTGACATATGAGTAAGAGGTGTGTATGTAAGTAATGAAATTCCAACAAACTAACTGATCAGGTACGTCATTTTATCTCAAAGTAAATCGAGCTATCTGGATGGAAAATGTAAGCAACTAATTATTAATTCAATATTACTATAGAATAAATTTTTGCATACGGTTGATGTTAAAAGTTGCTCAAACTAGAACCACTAATATTCACATTGAAATGCTAAACCAATTTTTTATTTGGTGTTAAACCTTTATTTATTTGGGTAAAACATAAATTTCTTATCCAAACTAAATTAATCTTACATCTTTAAAGTATATCACGTAATTTATACATGGAAAAAAAGCTGTTAGAAAAACTATTTGAATCCGCTCACTTACTATAACGACGGCATTCTGTGTTATGTCCCATAAACTTAAAAAGCTAATGCCACAGACAAATCACATTTTAATTTTTTATGTATGTCATGAGTGTGTTTCATTGCATCTGCATAGCTAGGTAAGGAGGGGATGAAAAGGATTTCCATTCTTGTCAACACAATCCGACTCCAAATAAAATGAATCTTTCAAATTCAAGTCAGTTTCATTGGACTTTTGTTTGGTGCTCATCATCATATGGTTAATAAACATGTCAACATGTCATAAAATGTAAAGATTAAGAGTGCGTATTTCATTGATAACGTTTCTATCCTATATATATTATAATTACTTCGGAAAATATATATCAGATTGTTTTTTAATTGGTTAGGTTTTCATTTTGGATCAATTAGGTTATTACAAGTAACAGCGAACTCTCATCTCATGTAATACATTCGAAACGACAGAACTTTCTAATAAATACTAAGGAGTTAAAATATTAAGAAAAATTATAAATGTAAGTTTGATTTTGTGTTCATGAATAGAAATCTATCATCCTAACTAAATAGCTATTAAAACTGTACATAGTTATGATTGAAACATAAATGAAGGAAAAAATATATGACATTTTAGTAAGCAATGAATTAGTGCAGAAAATCGATAATCCTATCTAAGCCTCTTCATTGTGATTTTCAGCTAATTCTATTCAAAGCTTTTAACATATGCCTATTTTCAACTATCCTCAAATACTTCTGAATAAATATCCAATAGAAATAAGTATAATTAATTGCATAACATTTGATGATGAAAACGATCTAGCAAGAAGTTTTTATTTATTTTAAACTTGAATGTCATATTTGTTTACACTCACATCAACACAACATATATCTATAATATTTTAGAAATTATTCCTCTTCATAAGATTCAAATAAATATCATTAATTATTACAGTCATAATAAATTAACTTTTAAATATTCAAATCACAAATAATCTTTAACAAATAGACTTTATATGATTTATAAAAATTATTAAATATTATTGTAATAATTAGTTTATTTAATTACTAATTACTATTTGTAAAAGAATAAATTATAGTTCATTTAAATCAAATTCAGATAGTGAAGAAAAAAAAAGAAAAAAGAAAAAAATAGAGAAAAAAACTTTAAAGTGCATAAATATATGGACTTCATAGTTTCTTTAGAAAAATAATAATACTTTTACTTTTTAATGTAGACGTTTATATAGTAACAAATGTGGATTAGATATAAATCAATGATTTGATAAACAAATAAAGTACTTCATTTATATTTTTATTATAAAAATAGAAACGTGACTAATCAAACACTTTGAAATGAATAGTTCACATGATAAATAATATTAAAGTATAAATTTATTTATTTAATATGAATCATTTGATTATTTGTCCTTTTTTTTGGAAAAAAAAATATAATTAGTCAATGGGAAAATTAAATAACACATGAAATTTGATTGGTAACAATAGAAATAATGAAAAAAAAAATATTTTTTTTACTTAAAATAATAATTAAAGAAACAAACAAACAACTTTTGCAGAAGGGGTTTTGTGGAGATTTTAGAAATTTCACTGATTGTAATCATGAGTCAATTGAATTTAGACCACTATGGAAAACCTAAAGAGTCCCATACCAGGACGAAACGGCCGTCCAGTGCTTCCAAGTTTTCCATGATGGTCTAGCTTTAATTGACTCATGATTTCAATCAGTGAAACAACCTTCTATTAAATATACAACTCGATTCTAATCTATTATTTACTCGTTTTTTTAAATTATTTTCATTATATCTTATAATATTTAATCTTTCATTTTACTTAATATATTTTGTTCAGAATCTTAAAGATAAGAATTATATACTTCCAGGTTTACCATGGTGGTTTAGCTTTAACTGATTCATGAATTCAACTATAGAAATTATTATAATATCCACAAAATCCCTTTTGATACTAATCAACATATGCTTACTAGTGACTGGCTTCAAGAGGTATTCCATGGAGTTCTAATGAGAAGCAATAACCAGTGAAGTTCAACCGTGTCTGTCGTGAGATAGTAACTCACTGGAGACAATGGTGAATAAGTCTCTCAATTTCGTGGATTAGTTCAAGTTAGACATTAACACCGTTGGGGGCCGGCTTAGTCGTCTAGTGGTTAAGCTCTCACACACGAGACTGATAGGTCCTGTGTTCGAGTTCCGCAAGTTAGGGTCATGGATGTGCACTGCCAAGGAGACCCACAATAGAACGAAACAGCCGTCCAGTGCTTCCAGGTTTTCAATCGTGGTCTAGCTTCAATTGACTCATGATCTCAACTAGTGAGATATGATAGATATATCCATTGATACCTTTATTTTTTTGTTTAAATTTATCAATCACTTATCATTTATAGGAAAGTGGAATTATTTGTTCTGTTTTCATTTCTTATTTATTTCAGATCTTATTCTCTAGTATCAAAGATGAAATTAAATACTTTTAACTATTCTAGTGGTACAACTCTTGATGTTAATGATTTAATGATTAGTTTCTACAAACAAGTAAACTGTACTGATAATGTGTTGACTTTTGTGATTTATTCAGTATGGAACTACTCAGTTAAATTGCCTGTAAAAAAAAAGAAACTCAGTTATGCAATATGCATGTTGTAAACGTATATTTTTTATAGAACATAAGTTTAAATGTTCTCAAAACTCATCAACAGAAAAACATGTTAGAACTAACTGAGAACCAGTATTATATACAGATAAGAAGCAAAATACAACCCGAAGGTGGTTTTTCAGCATGATATGGTAGGTAAACTACGGTTATGAATAAATACTTTTGCACTTATAAAATACAAATACGTACCGTTTACAAAATTAAATTAAATACCTTATTAACTTAATCGTTAGAGCATTGCTTATGAACGTATTAAGAATAAAAGAACTGAAGTAGATAAGCATGATATTAAATACAATGTTAGTATCTCAGTGTCGGAGGATGCATGTCATTATCGAAGTGGCTCAGTAGTAACGTTCCAAATTCTAAAGCTTAATGAAGCGAGTCTGAATTGTAGGGAGATAGCCAGTTCCCTCATTAGCTCAGACGTCCCGTTCTGACATGTGCCAACTATCGCGAAACCTATACACAGAGTTTTCTGTAGACTTATCCTAACAATCTAATATTAAAACATAGTGACAACTCATTACGATGATTACCTATTGTATGTTATTGCTTTTTTGTCAGAAAAATTGACAATTTTTTTATAAACTAAATTGGCGAATGCACACTGCATAAACTAGAATTCTAATTAAAAATAATATGATAGGATGACAGACTAGCTACTGAACGTTTCTGAACTTAAACATTATGTAATACATTTACTATTCGTTGGAAAAACCGAAGAAACTAAGAAATTATTGAAAGCTATGGAAAGTAAAAAACATTACCTAAAACCAAAGTAATATTTGCTAGACTCTCCGAATTGATGCTGATCTTGACCTGCTATATTTCTGCGGTGACGTGCATCTACACACTTTCTGACAAGAATATTCATGATTTAATAAAGCAGCAGCTTTATCTTTTTGCGATGCTGCATATATTGGATTACGTGTACATGCTTCTCCTTTCACCAAAATACATGCTTTAACTGATTTACATCTATTAGTCTTATCCATTTTTGTTGATTGAAGTCGCTGTTGAATTTCAGTAGGTCTCTGACTATATAAAATTAAACATGGCCAAATGTAATGGTGAACTTGACCAGCAGATGGGTCTGAATCATAACTTCTTCGATAACTTGAAAATAATATGGTGAAAACAAAAGACAAATTTTGAATTAAGTGGTAAATATATTACGATTCTTGTTGTATGACTACTCACTAAAACAATATAAATAAACTGCGTACCATTTGTCATTGTATGGATCCCCAGGTTTGGCAGCTTTATCCACATCTGCGTACCAAGTAGACTGAGTTCCATCTGATTCAGTATCTAGTCGCGGACTCTTTTTTCCAGCCAGTAGGTGCCAAGCAAGACAACAAACTTCCTTTAGAAGGTTATCTAAAGCAGTCAGTTCCTGACATGTCACAGGTCGTCTTATGGAAATAGGCCGTTTAATACTTGTCCCACCTATCGAAGTAATTGAAGTATGACATGCGCATTCGGGTGGAGCATGACGTGAAAGACGCCTGAATGTTGCGGCTACAAGTTTATCTAACTGATCATCATTGAGCGATATGTCTGAAGCGGAGAATTGACGCTCACCAACATTCCTTGACATATAATTTTCTTTTTGCGTGCAAATGGGAAGACGATGGATCACATGGCTGGTGACAGTGAAGCCGGCCTAAACGTAAATAACAAAATTATAAAAATAGTTTTATAGTTGATAGCAGTGTCCATAGACGACGACCAATGAAGAGTTTTGCGATAATATGACAATTTATATACGAATTACATAGATTACGAAACTCAATAGAATTCGAATTAAACAAAGCCTAGTAAATTACCGACTTGAGCAAGAGGTTAGGTTTTTAATTTGAAACTTCAAAATGCAATCAACATTTACAAACCATCTACCGTTAGGACATCAAATGTTGAGATCTTCAAACCAAATTTTTTTATCTAGTTTAGAATATGAGCTACTAATGTAGAGTTTTCACGTGATGTATTCACTATGTGTTTCACCTACTAAATATTGGGTTTTTCAACATTGTTACTGTAACGACATATTCCTTATGCTATAATGCCACCAGGGACTCCTGGTCGAAATAATATTACTTTAATATACGAGTAATAAGCCTCATTTAAAAGACATTCATTATGTTTGTATAAAAATGTCACGATAGTTTTAAAAAACAAAACGAGTGCTTACATTCTAGTGACATCGTGATACTAATGACATCATAACTCCATAAAACTGAAACATTTTCATTACCAGAAATAATGTTATACCATGCGAGACATATTAAAAGTTTTGAATAATAGTTTAAATGAATTAAAAAATCTCAGTTACATTTTATTACCTAACCAGTGTATGAAATAATATTACCTTTGATGAATTCGAATAATTAGAAAAAATATTTTGATAGTTCAGATATAAATCTGTTATTCACTAATGAAAAACCCATAAACCTATTACTATTATATTAAGTTGTAAAACTAAAACATCAGTGTAATAACACTTTAAAAGAACAATCCTACATTATTTTAACTAAACGATAATCAATCATCAGATATGTCTCAGTAAAGATTGATACTTTAGTCCAGTTTCTTTCACCAGGCTCGATATAAGAAAGAATGTTAAATAGTTATAGTCCTAGAGCATGATACAGATCTATCAAAGCTTATTTGTAGTATACGTACAAGCATGTCATTCATACCGTTTTGTTGTAGAAGCCAACCAATTGCTACCAGCTAATTAGTCTAATAGAAAAAAGGGTTGAGAGTAATTTTGACATTAATGGTCGTTACAGAATGCATCCAATACTTTCATACTGATTTTGTTAGTGAATAATATTAAGTTCAAACCTATAAGGGATTAAGAAGCAATTAAACAGTTAGTATTACATAATCACCCCCTAGAAACATTAAGTCAGATTAAACACTAGGGCAACATTATTCCAAAAATAATATATCCCCATGCGAAATTTGTGACATATGAGCATCACTAACTGAAATGCCACAATACCTATTCTCAATCGATTTGGTCCGTTACTTTCTTGTAAATTATTTTTTCATAAAATAATTATTACCTGAACTTATTTGTTGTATGACAAAATAGTAGCGTATCTATGCGAACGCCTAAAGAAAAGATAGGTGTGTCTCATACTGAACTCTTTTAAGGTGAATCTTAGTTACACTATCTATTATACGTAAAACGTTACGACAGGCGAAACGATCCTATTAGATTAAAAGACAATACATCGTGTGATCATTCGATTACTCCAAATGTTTATCCTCAATTTACAAATGGACAAATCCAAATACTATCTGTATCCCACACCCATAAACTTCAATTCAACTGTTTTATCGTTATATAATCGAAATTCAGTTTTTGTTAATCAGTGATTTTTCAATCACTTAAAAGATTCCAGTATATAAATTAAATGTAGAGTATTTTATTGATTTTTCTTCATCAAAGCAAAGTAGTATTTTGTAATAAACGAGAAACTTCCAATAATACCATCGAAGGTATACACATAGATTAGCATAATCAGATAAACATACAGAGATAGAGTTTTATGTTCACCTTACTTTAGATAGGCTTCTTTAATTTATCAATAGATACATTTATTTCATTTCATTTTTATGTACGGTGTTATTTTAGTGAAAAACTTAGATAACTTCTTCATTAAGAACTCAAAGAATTATAATACAATGAAGTACATCTTTCACTATCATGTGAAGTTACATTGACGTTACTCGGTTTAATGGTGTAAAACTTTGAAATAGATATCATAAATGTTCTCCACTCTTTACAAACAATTTCTGAAGAATTCATCTAGCTTTGGAAATAAAATAGGCACAAATCGTTTACGTTTGTCACAAAAATTGAGTACTTGTCAGGTTATTGCAATACCACATTTAAAAAATGTACTTAGTAATCAATTAGAATGACTTCCGAGTGATTTATTCAATGACAAAACCATTATGGTTATTCATTATTTAATCTTTTTAAGAACATTGATTCATTGAAATTTCATTGTCTGCCTGCACAACATCAACACATAATCCAAAAGACTTATTTATTACTAGATGATCGAAAATTGCCAGTGAGTTTACTTGTTTGTGAAATTTAAATACAACCATATTATCAAAGAAATACTAAATTGGAAGACACACCGTTGAAACTGAAATTTTCCAAGCAGTAGTAGGAAATTCAGAACAAGAGTTATAAAAGGACATGTAATAATCAAACTTCAAAAAATGGGAGATATGTTTTCTTATGACAAAATGACTTTTTGTATACCACACTAAGTAAAACATTTAAACTAATAATTTTCTGGCATTTCGCTGATATAAGTCAGAAATATCAGAATATGATACAATGTTTCTATCAGCACTCGTTTATGTTAAGACGTTTATGACGTTTTCGTAGAGTCTATTACAAGTAACTTTACCTATTTTTATTTCTAATTACATCTCAGACCGAGCTAAAGGAAAACCAGTTTTTCCACTAATGTGTTTTAAAATTTACTTCACAGACCGATATCAATTAAACAATAACTGAACACCAGAAAACCCTGTATGGCCGTTTTGTCCTAGCTGGAAATTTTCAGCAGTACATGGTTATTACCAAACTGAGGATAAAATGCAGAACTATTGGGCCTCAAAGATCTTAACAAACCCTTAATATTAACAATAACCGTTTGATCGCTATTATCTTACTTCGAGACATAACTCTTGTAGTTGTGTTGGGAAGTTGTAACCAGTGGATTTCAAGAAAATCAGGCAGTTGTCCGCCGAAGTCGATAGGAGATGGCGAGATAATCTCGAGGACTGATTGAAATTGTACATGTAAATCAATCAAAATCAGCTCTCCAGTTTAAATATGAAGTGTTCGTTATGTGAACTGAATGCCGTGGATTCGATCGGCAAAAAGCTGTGTATGCGCGCTTCTAAGAAGCATAATATTATGAAAAAACAGCTGTCAAATGTCTCCCAATCTACAAAAGTCGTGTAACCAAGTTCGGCGTGTGATGTGGTCTATAATACAAATACAAATGAAAATTCAGTGATTTCACAAACTCCAATCCCACTATGTTTTATGAACTTACATAATAGATTTTATTATACGTTAATTTAAAATTGAACTTGAAGCTTGAAAGTTCATCAATTGATGACAAATAATTCTTAATACATATTTTGTGAGATAAGACAAGTTTATAAAAAAGCAAAACTGATAATTTTGTAGTATTTACTGGTTTAATAGATGTAATATAAAGATAGTAAATGATTGACGCGATGGAATTTATAATTTCCTATTTAACCAGTGATAACTCACTTGAACCGCGTGAAAAATCAAGCGTTGATTTCTTGCACAATCAGATTGGCCTAATGATTGTAGATGATCCATACACGACACACGTAAATTTGTGAATAGATCATTATATCGGCTAACCAATGGAGAAAGCCAACTTTGAAGATGGCTTGTAACATTTTTATCTTCAACAAATTTCACCAAATGATCATTAGAAATGAAAGAATTATCACTTTCCTGAGGATAAATATCATCATCACTAAAATTTTTAAATTGAAATTTGAAAATCTTTTATTTATATGAGAAATTATTTTGTAAACATTTACCTATTATGATGATATTATATAAGAATACATAAGTGTGTACAGAATGTTCATAATACTTATCTAATCTAAGACTACTTTAAAAGTGAATGTTTTAATAAGTTATCTTTTAATAGTTACTTTTTGCTAGAAAAAAAGCATTTTTAAAATAGGAATACCATAAAATCAGCTTTTGTAAAAGATAAGTGATATATGCATATAAAGATAAAATATTCAAAAAAAAAGAATTTTTATTCTAATGTTATTATTTCAACTTTAATATTGTCAGAAAAGTGGATACTGCAGAAGTAGATACATATTAAGTGTTTATTATCAGTCTATTTACTGCTAAATTGGTATGTACTTAGTCATCTATATTGATATTTGATGCATCAGATAGTAGATAACTTTGCTGTAATCTATTGGTATAAAGGTATTAAACAATAACTGAATTAAATTTCAAATCACCATCAAATAAGCCTAAACGGTATTTTTTTTACTTCATTGTCTTAATAAATAGGTAAATGATATTATTAGATGAAAAATCTTACCAGTATAAATTTTACTTTATTTTACTACTTTTGAATTTAATTTAATGCTTCAAAAACATAACACAGTGGTGATGATACATTAACTTTCAAGTCGACGTTATTCTTTGCATCATTATTTTTAAAACTGTATTCTCTACGTTTAGCTTTACAGTACTAATGATGCTGTTATCCTGTCGATCATTTCATCCTCACCACTGTGTTAATGCGAAATTTAAGGAAACCTGCCCAGATGATATGCCTGTGCTAAAACCTACACTATTTATATCTGATTAACTATAGCCATACAACTGATATCTAGTGTGACGATCTAAAATGTCGATTTCAGAACATAGGAGTGCTCATTTTGGGAGCTGTTGTATGATTCAACTGTACGCCTAATTTACCTCAGGTCTTCTTGTATCATCCAAACAATCATTTGTCACTGACAAACAGGATTTTTGCAACATTTCCAATCGCCAAATTAAATACCACAACACGACCGATGACCCTAATACCATATATTCTTATACTTTTTTAAGTGGTTAGTTTTACATACTGTAACTGTGATTTCCAGCTGAAGAAAAAGTGTTTTCATGACTAGCGTGGTCCACCTCCTGTCATGACAATCTCAGACGTTTAGTTTTCCTACTTTTCATGAGCAAAACTAGTAAACCACCTCAATTAAAAGGCAAAATATGTAAGTCAAACTTCTTAGAGCATATTCGTGAAGAATAGAACAAAGTTTGTCTTACCATCGTTCATTTACTTGTTTATTAAGATCGTATTCAGATACAGAGGAAGCCACTATACTTTCAGCATCTACCATAGCTCTGGGTCGCTTTTGAGTAGAGTAAATTGACTTATTTTCTATATTAGGTTGAATAGATTCCATACTTTGAGCTTTTAGTTGATTGGTTAATCTATCACATTGAATTTGACTTTGTATTAAGCTTTACATTTCGTCACAAAACAAAGAATTTAATCATATTATAAAATGCAGATTAAATTAGTCGAAAGATAGTTGTCTCAAAAAAAAATAAGAGGGAATAATCTAACAAACTTTGTACACAAATCAAATTATTTAAATATATTAAGATAACTCACCGTTCTAAAATCTCATTTTCTAAACTTGGTAAGCCTTGCGAATAATCCAATTTATTACAATAATCTTTTGCCATCGGATGTATATTGTTACATGGATGTAAGTCTCTCTGATTTTGATGGAAGTTATTTTCTGAAATCATTGCCGGTGACCGATAAGACTTTTTAATTGTTTCCTCAACAAAGGCTTCAGGAAATACTTTGTTACTGTCTGTACAAAGGCTACCTAAACATTTTATAATAAATATATATTGATGTAAGATGATTTGATGAGATGTTTTGCTCAATCACTATGAATATATTAAGATTGTTATTTTAGTTGCTTCTTTAGAAAAACTAATGATAAATCATATTTTGGTACTTAATAAATATTGTTAAAAATAGCCATGTCCCTTTTGGATAGCTTTGATTAGACTTACTGTATCCAGAATTTCGTTGAAATTATTCACTCACCTGTCGTAGCTATCTCTAAGTATATACTTACCTCATTTTACTTGATTGCACTTATAATATTATTATTTTACCCACCAGTTTCTGTCGTTATTTTGTTTGCTACTCAACACCCATTAAACCAAACGACAAGTCGATGAGAAAATCTGATTCTCTCAACCATACGTGTGATAAAGTTTGACGAGCAAACCTGCCTAGAATCAGATTATTGACGAACATTAAGGTAGGAGACATAAGAATAAAGCCAATAATATTTTACTTGTCATCATGTTTGCCATAATAAGCATTCCCAAGGTAATCATTTGATTTGTGAAAATTTCCACAACTAGTAGCCAATAATTTTAATAATGTAGTTTCCATCTCAGTACACTTACACTGAATTATTTTGAGCTAACCTTTGTCTAAGCATACTAATTAAGTCGCCATTGTTAGTTAAACTGTAAAACCCAGTCCCCACCAAAACAGAAAACAGTCGGCTGAAGAGTAATTCAAAAAAGCCTCAACTAAATTGATTCTCGGAAACATAAAGCTGGTATACAACCAGAGACTACCTAATCTTAAACCATTGTACTTATCATATAGAAAACCTACAGGTAATTTCATCATAAATTTTGAATTAACTAGTAGTAGTTTTTGTGTGTTGCGCTCATTTTTCTTGTTTTAAAACAAAGAATTAATGAGGGCACTCCCAAAACGTTTTTAAACCCAAAACCAAGTACCTGTCATAGAACTACCGAGTCATCAACTAGTGAAACTTCTTACCTCAAAACGCGCCTAAAGCTCCGTTTACTGACGCATTCGGACAAAACCTGGATGGAGTAAAAGGTAAGCATTGCCAAAATTAACTCATTCTATTCAGCATATTGTTCGTTTCGTAATCAAATTGTATTAAAATGGCTTCAAAGCAGTTCAGAATTCGGATGAATAAGTAACCAGGCTAATGAATGTGTGATTTGGAAGTTAAAGAGGATCTCATTGAAATATACAATGATAATGACCCGTTAACGGTGTTTAGAGATGTTTATTTATGTTTTTAAAGCACATTTCGGAGCATCTTAATCATGGGAATCCACTTGTATTTGATGTTTTAGATTAGTTTAGGAAAAACTAAATACTCCACAGAAATCTCAGCATCAGTGATGGCAAATCGCCGTGCAAAAATAGTGTTAAGTTCACAGAAATGTGCCAAAAACTTTCAATGAAATTGAACATACTATCCAATGTGTGAATTAAAATACTTGTAATATATAATGTCATAGTGATTCAAATGTTTGACTGGTCTTAGAACACCTGACTAGCACCTATATCGGTAATTATCAAACTCAAGAGTTCTACAAACCCTTAATCAGTATCACTTATATAGATCATGGAGGTACAACACGTCTTACATTGGCTTCATGAAATATCATCAAGGAGAGCATAAAAACCAAACATTCGTTGGATAAGGCACCCATAAATATTGGTCACTAGTTAAAATACAGGAAACATGAGCTAACCTTGTGTCACGAACAACCTTAAAATTTTGAACAATTCATGCTGCAAACTAGCATTAGCTTCAATTAGCTCACAGCAGACCGTAGTATTATCAGTAAGGCTGTTTACCTGTTGTGGTGTATTAAAAGAAGTATAAATTACTTTAGATTCTCTTTCCCAACTTTTAAATCTCTCGAAAATGCGAAAAGATGGTTCTATTTGGGCGCATATTAACTCATGAGCAAGCATTGTCGATAACTAGTATGTTTAATCTAAACATTCACGATTGACATTCGCCTTCAGAGTAGTGCGTTTAAACAAACTGTTTGATTACAATATCTAATATGTATTTAGGATGACAGTACGTAAACAAGATAACTTATTCGTCTTTCTTGCTTTCTATCTAGTGAGGGTTTCAAAGCATTGATAATACAATTTAGTTAGATGGGCTCGAGGTTGGGGCCTAGAAATCAATTTTAGGAAGAGTGTGCTAATTCACATCGGTCACGGTAATAGTCACCAATATACTATTGATGGTGAATCTCTCCCACGTGTTCAAGAACATAATGACTTAGGAATAATAATAAGTCATGACTTGAGAACAATTACGCATTGCAACTCAGCCGCTGACAAAATGTTTTCGTGTGATATGGTCAATTCGTCGAGCAATCAAATCTTTTGACGAGTAAATTTTTTGAATTTTATATCCGACCTGTGTAAGACCACATTTATAGTACTGTATCCAAGCAGCTGATGTCTGGTAAAGGATACTAACTCATTCGAGCTTCCAGCGTGTGGGAACGAAATAAGTGGAGGGTTTTTCTAAACTCTTACGACAAGGGTTTAAAACGCCCAAACTTTTTCCCCTTGTCGTGTCGTAGGACGTGAGGTGAGGTCATAGCAAGAAGGTTCACGAACCGCGATCTAATAAACTTAAAGAGGGGTCCCATTTTTCTCATCGAGTAGTCAATGACTGGAACGCCTTACCCGAACAAGTGGTATCAGCCTCATCAGTGAATATTTTCAAGGAGAAGCTGGACCTTCATTGGAAAGCAATCTGTCAGGGTTAATACAGGTTCACCAACCTACTATCCTTATTACTGAAGACTGAAGACTGCACGAATCTAATTATTAGGGTCCTATAGGATATAGAAGACATTTAATTTGCATTCGAATTTAGTGTTAGGTTAATGTTACCCAACGACATGGAAGTCCCTAGTATTTTCTTCTTTTGAAACACCTAATATTTATTCACTCCTTTATGTTGAGCATTAAAGAAGGGTCGTGTAAGGTACAAAAGTAGTTTTAAAACAGTAACAGAGAGTGAGATACGCTATTAGAAGGCAGAAATAGCGCCTGAAGAAAATCAACGTACTTAGCAACATGTTGTTCTGTATAAACGTCCCATATTGTTCTAATCTTATGTTCAGGTTATGGGAGAAACGATAAACTTGATGTCCATTGAGATTCAAATGATTGGAAGATGATCAACGACATTTTCGCCTCAAACTTTGAACCCTTTTTCCCCAGTTGTTCTCCTAATAACACAAGACATTATTGAAGTTTTAAGAGATAATAAAAATTGTTTAGTTCACTAAACGACCTTGAAAGGCCTGATCTGAGGTTGTTATGTCGTATTTCAATTACTGGCCTGCATACAGTTTGGGTGTTTTCATATTTAAATAATCTGTTGCTGCAGAAAAATCACAAATTCATCGTAAAAGGCACGATCTAACCTTTCTCTCTTTTGTAGTGTACATGGTGACTCGATTGTTGCTTCGCAACTTCTCGAATGCCGATTGCTCCACCTTTGTTTAAGACTTAATAAGGTCCAGAAAACGGTGTATTAGGAATAAGAACAACTTAAAAAACCCAGATACTTTTTGTAAATCACTACTTTATAAGACTTAAATATGTTTGTGGTGTTTCAGTGCACAATTGGTCAGAAGCGTAGACCACACGGTTTAACAATGAATCCGAAACCGTGAGAATTAATGAGGTAGACACAAGCATTTGCGGATGCCACTGTGGAACGTTTGTGATATTATGGTATCCTTGCTGTCACATGCTTCTTGCATGTATAAGACAGATACTTACAAGTAGGCTCGATCAATTACAGAGTGTAAAACACTTAGTTAATCATATTCTTAAACTCTGCAGTCAATGGGAGATAGCTAGTACACATACCTCTTATAACAACACAACAGTTTATTCCCCATGCAAAGCAAACAGTATGATCATATTCAAAGAATCCAGAAAACTTGCAAACAACAGATTGTGGATAAACATGTTGAGGAGTAAGAGATGATGGAGGGGGGAAATTGACAGCTATTACTTAAGAATCAACAATAACCGGGTATGACTTATTTTCGTGTCGTCTGATTTATGATAAAAACGGATCGAAATATAAAAAGTGCAGAGACATGACAAGAACTGTTTAGCATAAGGAGTTCTTTGGGGTCGTATTTTTAAACTAATTATACGCATATATTGTAAACTGATATCTCCGCATCAAATGTTGTTCTTACTATACCAGTAGTAATAATGCACCAACAAAATTAAACAATTCTAAATCTCATCTTCATCCTAGTTGCGTGTGGACGGCTGCAATTAAACGCAACTCAATTTCGTAAATGTGCTTTTCGGCTTAGCAACCAATCAGAATGTGGCGGGAATTATTATATCAGCCATCTTTGTACGTAATGGCGGCCGGCTTTCTTCGTTCTGTGCTTCTTTAAGCTATTTCTTTTGTCTAGCTATGTAAATAATGTTTCAATGTGCTAAGATGCCGCAGTTAGTGTAATGTTATACATGGTGTGAAATTTACTTCGAATCAGCATTGTTTTTTGGGTTTTTGCTGCTTCTACTCTAGTTAATGTATTTCTTCAGTCAAGCTGGTTAGTCTTATGTTTTAAAATGGAAATCGGTTTTGTTTTGACTTGTTTTCTAGATATCCAAAGCCGAAGTTCGTTTTTTCTTAGCTGAAATAACTGTTGCTGCGTCCTGTGACTGACTGTCCGCATGTTCAATCCTAACTGTCCTTTATGATGTTATCGGCAAAATGAAAGGAAACAATTTCCGGTTTTTAATTTTCTTCAGTATTGCGGACAACAATATCCCACCAATGAGTCAAACTAATACTTAGTGTCTAGCCGTAGGGGATGTCAGTATTGTTTTCGAAAGTACCCAGGCTTCCGACAACCACAGATGCTACCAATCTATTGCAGAGGGTTTGTTATGAAAAAATATGCCACATAGCAGTAATGGAGGGGTTGTACGCATTACGTAGTGCGTTAAAGCAAGCTTAACAATGAAAAGCCGGAAACCTGCTATCAGTGTGTAGTGTATGTTTGGTGTTTTGGCCACAAAAGGAAGCCGAAGGGTCATGATCAGGTAGTAAAAAGGTAACTAACTGTTATTAAGCTCAGCTTTTTATAGACCATAATTCACCACTCGCAAATTCGTTATTTTTACGGTATGATGTCAACCGTTATCAAATATGTTCATCTTTACGATGAAAAGTACCTGCAAATTCTCAACTTCATATTCGAATTAATTTGTGACAACTGTCTTCCAGTTTGAGTGCTTCGTACGCCCTGGGAGACTAGATTCCTACATTATTCACCGTTCCAGTATAACTTTCTCACACAGTAAGTTCAGAGTAGACACTAGTCTTTCTAAATAAGCCTGGTGAGCTAATATCCGTATTTTCTATTTCAGTTAATCGATGAAGACCATGTACCGCGTGCATCTGCTGTATATTGTTATTTTACTCCAATTCTAACTGTTATATCTTCTGAAAAATAAAATTGCTATATGCAGCAAATACAGATTTATTGTTTTGATGGTGGTAGAGGGGTTCATGGGTTTTTTAGCAGGACTGTAGTAATATACTAAAGAGCTAAGTGAGTGCGTAGACCAATGTAAAGTACCATACAGTGTGCCTTTGAATTACTCGTGTTCCATTAGTGTCGGTAGAAGCATTACTTGCTTATCATATGATATTTGAATAAGAAGCTATGAGATTAGACGCAGGGACGGTTAGGATGTGTAACGCGTGTCCATCCATCAGTTTCTGTGGCAACTCATGGTGGCTAGAATAAGTTGTGAGAGGACCCGAGTTTGTAGGTTCCCCAAGAAAGTGACGGAGATATGCACCAAATCACCTTATGAAGAGCGCCTCCAATCACTTAACCTCTACTCATTAAAGTATAGACGTCTATGAGGTGACCTATTTACTTACAGGATCCTTAACACTTCTGTACATTCTCTTAAACACCTACTTGAGCTTAGTCCCAGAAACTAGAGACACGACATAGCAGAATGGACTGTAGACGCGACTTCTACTCCTTAAGAGTTGTCGAATGCTGGAATTCGCTGCCCGCCGAACTAGTCCAAGCGACTTCCCAGGAGTCCTTCGGGAGACGACTGGATCTTTTATTGTTAACATACCTAGGTTCCTGCTTGGAGGTTTCGGTGATCCACTGCTACTAGACACGGAAGCCTGAACACATGAATTAGGTGATGAGAGGCTCGATTATCACAAGTTTCCTGCAACGATTAAGTAGATAAAACAAAGTAGCATTAGGTTCAAAAATTTATTCCAGAACTTTCATTAAGAATCGAATATGAAACAAAGGTTTAAACCAAGTTCCAGTCTAAAAGTTGCGTTGGTAAGGTTAAGCTGCATTTTTTGTTTTTTCCAAACGAAAGGGTAAAAGAAGTAACTCAAAAAGTACTGGAAGTGGTTGTGAGATTAAAATGGACATCCAGCATCCTTTTTATAATCTGCTGTTAGTTGGGTTTCCCGTAAACAGATCCATATGGCCATAGTTCTAAGGGCGAAACAGTTCTTAGGATCTGTGAAGACTCAGTCCTGTTGCATTCTAAATGAGAAAACAGTAATGAATTGAGTCAGAAATGTGGAATAGATAAATAACCAAATTACATGTTTTTTAGCAAAGAATTTATGCAGTTGTGATTTACCTTTAGTTCATGAATATTAGGTCAGGTCAGCTATTTATTGTGCAAAGTAAAACATAGACTTAATACCTTATCTCAATGCTTTTTTTATTTTGCTCTCATTTAAGTATTACCATGTATCTGCATCTAGTTTAACAGGGAGACATACAAGCAGATTTAGTGTTTGATGAACTAAAAGTCCCAATTGCCAAAAAGATTCCTAACATTTGTCCACAGCCAACTGCATTTAATTGAAATACAGAACACTCATCTTCTAAGATTGTATACTGCTCTTCTACGGGCAAATAAAAGCTCAGACACTTAGCTATCCTGCT